CTCTCTCTCTCTCTCTCTCTCTCTCTCTCTCTCTCCATTTCCATTAAGGATACGAGTGTTTGAGATAAAACACTAAAATTGTTTTTTCGCAACGATATTGTAATTGCATTATAAGTGCATTAGTGTTGAGTATAATTGGGTAATAAAAGTGAAAACTATTATAAGTGATAGCATTACCAGTGATGGTGACCAGAGGTGGCGGTGGTATGAGTTCGTCGGTAGTCTTCGGCGCGTGAAAAGTGTTTGATCTGCGGTTCAGCTCACGGATGGCGTCGTGACTTCGGGCGCCAGACATACCGCCATCGGTGGTGTCCCGACCCCTACGGCCCTCCACTACGTACTCATTCTCGGCTCGACTTGTGGTCGCATTAAACAGGCCTTTGGAAAACTCTGGCGACTCTTTAACCGACGGTAATTTGCCCAACGATGAGGTATACGATGTGACCGATTCTTCCGAGTCCTGTTTGGTCACAGGCTTGTGATGCGCTGGCAATGGCTGTCCACCGATGGTATCCACTAAAGCATCGGAAGTGATCGACAATACAGAAAAGAAAGTCAGTTATTATTGTTTTAACTTTGTTTTTAGTTTTAATAGTTTATAGTTTTAATTTAGTAAATATTTTAATAGCCGTTGAAACGGATTCAACAAAACTATTGTTTCAATATAAATATGACTTTCATTTAATATATTAATTAACAAACATTTAATTTTTTAAAATTACTAAAACTACTAAACATTTCGATCGCTAATAAGTTACTAAATATATAATACAGTAAATAATTTTTCATTTCTTGTTTAAAATTAATTCTCACCAAAAAACTTGAAAAATTATTTTTACAATTCATTTTATGACATAATTCTATGTCTAATTCAATTAGACTCTAATTAAAAATGTCTAAATCTATAAAAAAAACAACAAAACTAAACACTAATTGAATTCATAATCATTACTACTTTTGGGCAAATTATTAGTGGTATCCCTTTTGGCGACCGCAGAGGTCTCGACGTCCACGAAGATTGGATTATCTTTGGGGCCGCCCTTTGAGAAGAGTATGTCTTCCTGGTGTTGACCTCCGGGTGCGCTCATGTACTTTGTATTCTTGGCGGTCGAGCCCTGCATTTTGGACCAATTGTAGTATTGATATCTATTACGGGAAGCAAAACACGAGACAATCAGATCATACATTCATTTGCATATCTAAAAAGTCGTAAACATTTCAATGAAAGGCCGGGAAAAGCTATGGATAATAAATAACACTAAAGGATTACATAAGAGAGACTCGTTATAGTAAAGTAATGAATGTAAAAATAGAGGTTATGGTCTGCGAGGCGTAGAGCCGGGTGTGTGTATGTGAGGCCTTATTGATGATGGTATACCTCCAGGCGGCCAACATTAGGGCAATCGATACCAAAAGTATGACAATAATGGGCAAAATCATCCGCCAGAACGATATGGACTCATATGAACAGTCAGTCACTGTATACTTCTTGCCCTTTGGATCCGTTATATGCATCTCCCGACTGCTGGAACCGCCGAAGAATAGCTTGTTTAGTATACTATACGAGACCATTGGCCAGTGTTGGTCAATGGGACTCGTGATCGCCATTTCCATCTGACACGATATGTCCGACTTTCCGCTGTGGACGTGAACGTTGTCCTCCGTATTGAATAAAAACACTGAATGTCAATTCAAAATGAAAAATAGCATAACGTTAATAAAGTATTCATTAAAACCCTATCTATTAAAATGTCTCATTAGTTGTCATTAACTTATATTAACAGCAAAAAAGAGTTATTAGTTTTGTATTGTTTTTTTTCAAACAAAAAGTTTTGCGCTTAAAAACAATATTTTAATTGCAAACATAATTGTCAACACAATTGTTGTCTCAAACATATCAATTAAGGTAATCCCTAATCGTTTGCCATCGATAACAAAAATAACATCATTTCTTAGCACTACTTTTAATGCTAATCGTTTGCCTTTGAAAACAATAGGAAATAAGTGATTACCGGATTGTTTTGAGACCAAATTCTTGAAATCTTTGTTGTCGTTCTTGTGGTCCTTGTCATTGAAGAGGTAGTCGTTGGCGATGGACACCAATTCGGAGATAAACGACTCCTTGTATGTGGTGTTAAACTGGGAACAGCTCTGGTCAATGACACAGACCTGAACCGCCGAGTCTTTCACCCGTTTGGGCACTTTCTCTTCGGGCCAGAGGTCGTCGGGCTGTATGTATGTATTGGACTCATTCCAGTGAAACTTCATAGCGGTTCCCGTCTTCAGCGAGTTATGTGTCACTAAACTGTCGTTTTTATTGCCAACAGATTTAGTGATTGAAATTAATTCACACATTAAATACAAAATTATGAAACTTTGCAATAAATAAATTGAAATTTCAAACACAATATACGGACCGAATATAAGCGGAATCGGCGTAAACATAGAGATCCCGGGGTTTGTCGGTCTCTTCGTCGATATTCTTAGTGATAATCTGGGCTTTGCTTAACTCGCGGTGCGTGGGCTCAGAGCCGGGACCCACGAGCACAAAATCGCCGGCATCCTCATCGATGTCCAGTTTAGTGATCACTACAATCACTCCGACCGAAATATTCTTGCTGCCGGTGTCGGGCGGAGGCATCAGCTTATAGGTGATGACAGTGTTGGGTATGTAATAGACGTCCTGCCTCTGGTCGGCGTCGTTTATATAGTGCAGTTCCCGTTCAGTCGTCTCTCGGAAGTCAATCTTAAAGTACTGGATCTCGAGCTTAAAGCTGGTGCCGCCGTCCGCCGTCACGGTTCGGGAGCCGACCGCGTGATCGTCATCGATCTTCTGGTACTGCTCGTCCAAATTGCCCATGAACGGGCGCGGCAATCGGTACTCTACCCGCAGCTAAATATTACATATATTTTCAATTGACATTCATGAGATTATTTTTATATTTTTAATTTGTATACGAATGTGCATATAATGTTTACAATTAACATTAGAGTACCTGCACTACACTGTATTTGTAATATTTAAAAATTTAACAAAACGTTTTAATGTGTAATCAAAACAATACATACGGTGTTAGAGTCGGAAACAAAGCTCTCATAGTTGTCTTCCCAGTGGTTACACATGTAAGCGGTGCCAAAATTACTAAAACTCAACAGTTGCTGATCGGAGCCCTCGTCGTAGACCAGTATCTGGCCGTTGGGTTCAGTGCACACGTCGACCATCATTGCGATATAGGATGTGTCGGGGATTGTCTCAATGTCTGGTTCCGGTATTTGCATATATTTGGGGAAAATGACAATCTGTGGGTCAGAACAAGCATTTAGATATATCATTGCATTTTTGTTTAATACAAGTTAGCCGTCAGTATTATACCTGCGATTGCGGTTGACTGGGATTAGACGCACCTAGGTTGTGTGTCATGCTTTCGAGTAGACACGATTCTTCTAGCTCATTTTCATCATCATTATTTTTGTGGACATTCCATCGTTTGCATAGATTTAACGTACGGTTAGTGTCCGTAGAATTGGTGTCTATTTGTGCGCTTAATAATTGGCCCTCAATTGGTATTCGCCTTTTGGTCGATATTAAAGTCTCTAAATTATCTGAGAAATTAAAGTTAATTTGCTTTTAATTACATTTTATATAAATGAAATATTTGTTTCAAAAGTGATCAAAATTTTAATTGAATTTAATTGAAATTTTATCACTTTGTTATAAATGATAAGCAATTAATGTTATGACATATTTAAAATAATATGATATTTTCATACCTCCGGACCCAACCCTCCGATTTGTTAAATCATTAGTTGTCAACACATAGTTTGTACTGTCAGTCACGCCGTCGGCAAAAATGCCCAACAATTTGGGTTCAGTTCTGGTGACCAATCNATATTTTCATACCTCCGGACCCAACCCTCCGATTTGTTAAATCATTAGTTGTCAACACATAGTTTGTACTGTCAGTCACGCCGTCGGCAAAAATGCCCAACAATTTGGGTTCAGTTCTGGTGACCAATCGCTTGGCATTTAAATACTGTTCACTCGATTCCGATGTTATATTAACCGTCGATGAAGTGACACAAGAATTTGTGAATATATAAACAGATAATATAATTGTGACTGAAATGACTTTATTTTGAATATATTTTGAGAACAATTTGTTATTAAAAAACATTTTTGTTATTTCTTTGAATAACTTATTGTAAAAACTTTTTTGTAAAATAAAATTTACATACAATTCAGGCAAATATTCTGTCGCCTAAACAATCATATTATTTAATTATTAAAAACATTATACATTGAAATATAGTGAACACATAGTTACTAATTAACAAATTATTAATTGAATACCAAGAGTGAAATCAAACTCATAATACTGTTTAACTATAATATCCGTATCGACACATACTTCACAAGCTATTGATAATCAAATTACGACAAAAAATATTACAACAAGTTATACACAATACTATATATTCTGGCGATTAGTTTATCGTTGGATAAAAAGGCGAAAAAACACATATCAATCACTAAAGGGATTCAATAGCAAATAAATATCATTACAATTGAAACAAAATTGTTTGACTAATCATTGGAAAAATGTTTTCTCACTAAACACACAAATCTTATCACAAGATATACGGTTGACATTTATCCTGAATTATTGTTAGACTATATTATTTCGCTATACAAACGGTATATAAACGGAGTTTTTCCGATAAACAGGTATACAATAGTTGTAATAATAATAATAATCGTAATAATAGTTAATAATAGTAGGTTTGGGTGTTTGAGAAGTGAGGTAATGGTAACACATTTCTCGGTAACCAAATTGGCTCTCGTTTTGTGGACTTTTAATAAACTATTATAAACTACTATTAAGGATAGATATATGGCTTACTTTTTTGTCACTTATAGCATATCTGTTATGGCATTAGAAAAAATTATTACACAATATTTGAGACACATATCACACACATTATTATACGACACCTGAAGCGAGACAATGGTTTCGTTGCAATTATCTCTTCAGTAGTGGGAAAACTACTTTACAACAAGACATTGATTTTGAAAGCCATACCTAATCTACTGTATAATGTACTCACACTTCACTATACATGGCTTGTCTGTATTGACTGACATACAAATTGTACGCTATTTTTCTCAACCAAGCTCTCAAAATTGGTTCCCGAAAAATGATTTTTGAATTAATAATGATTTTTCTCGGTTCGTGTGAGACATATATACTTAAAGTTATGATTATTTTTATTTAAAAAACAAATTCATACCAATTATTGGCTCAATAGTCGTGTTTATTATTTATCGCTAATAAATTGTTAGACATTATTGTCAATGTGTTTACCATTTTATGCATATATTTAATGCTTAATGAGAATCCAATTTAATAATTATATATTGAATACGAGAGCAAAATATGCATTTTAATAGACATTTATGCTTTTAAATGGT